TAAGTGCTGCACTACGAATTTAGCAGCTGGGGTCTAACCTATACCTACAGGTACATTGCCATACCTCGACAGTAGCTGCATTAACGTGAAGCTTGGGAGAGCTTGACATGGAGTCTGATTTGTGCTTTTGGAATGAGCCCCCATGTAAAAACCTGGCTTTGATGTGAGAGGAAAGGAAAGGGATGTGGGAGAGTGAAGTATGATGTGACAGTAGAGATGATTATTATGACTAAAATGTGCAGCGCAGCAGGGCGAACTTTGGCAATGAGCAGATTATTGTTGAAGCAGGTTAAGGCATGATGCAGCATAAAGAAGAAATACCTTGAGATATGGATGATGGAAAATCAACACCTCACTCACTGCGAAAGCACAGCTTTATCTTGAACCTCCCTCACTGCCCATGAGTCACACAGCCAACATGATCAATAGCTTATTATTACACCTTTGTGCGTGTGTGTGTGTGTGTGTGTGTGTGCTCATATGCACTCTGTGCATGCATACAGGTGTTTTTTCTCTATAGTTTTCTGTGTGTGTGCCAGAGATCTATCCAGATATCTGTGGGGCCATTTACATCCTTAAAGAACTCCCTCACCCTGTCAAAGTTGGCTTTCAAAGTATCCAGCTGCTGTCGTGGCGGTTTTGAGCTTCCAGCCTCAGGGGAGCAGTTGTCATTGATGCATATTAACAAGCTCTCAATGTGCCGCGACGCCTGTTAGGAAACACATTCAGCAACAGGGCCGTAAAAATTGCATGTATGGATGCATCGATCTGTGTGCGCGTGAGAGCTGCCATAGTGACACGCCTGTCGGTGACTGACAGCCAAAGCTTCGTTATTAAGGCTGATTTGTGACAAACTACTGCGACAAGGCTGGAGCTAGCTCACTGTTGTGTCTAGTTGTGTATGTATGTGTGTTGGCATGCATGTGTGTATTATAATTACACACTGGGATGGCACCCTAATAGTATTCAGCTAGAGCGAGGGGCATCAGCAGCAGCTCACATGCATTATTGAAAGAGAGGGAGAGAGTGAGCCGGCACCCACTGCTACAGTATGTGTGTGGGTGTGCTGGGGAGAGTGTGTGTGTGTGTGTGTGTGCGTGTAACTGTGTGAGTCCCAAATTTCAGTCATTTGCATTTTGATGCGTCAAGTTTATCTCGAAGCAGTGTTTGCTCTATACCCACTGTGTGTGTCTAGGTGTGTGTGTTTGTGCACCTTCCCTCCTTTCGTGCCCTTTTCGATCCTCCCCATGGACCTGGTCTCAGTTTGGCTGCTTCACAGCCTCACAGGGCCAAGAGCTGGGCAGCAGCTTGAATCCAAATGAAAGCTTTGTGGCTTCTCACCACTCTGTAGTGTTGAATACTAAAGTGAAAACACCAACTATACATGTGTATAAGCAGCCACTACATTGGGTATTAGATACTGGGGATTTGGCTACACACATTTCTGCCACTCCTCTTGATCCACAAAAGGGTGCTGAGCTGGTAAATTGCTTATAGGTATTGTGTTTTTGACTGAACAAAATGTGTGACTGTGTGTGTGTGTGTGTATATGAGTGTGAAAAGTGTTGGTTTGCAAGTGAGATGCAGTTACAGAAAATTCTTCTTGCCTCTTCTCTGCTGTGCAGGGGAGACTCCTGCTCCTGTGCTGCAGTGAATTGTTCACACTCACACACACACAAAAGAAACATAAATGCTCACACACGCCTTGGGCTGCTTCTCAATGTTGCATGAAGTGTCCGTTCATGACGGAGGCTCCAGGGCCAGATCTCCTCATGTCACTTTTATAATGGGATTGTAATTGGATCTTTCTCGAAGGGGCCCTGGTGAGAGGAGGAGAGGAAGACACGAGAATGGGAAGAAGAGAAAATCTGATAACAGTGATGCTTTGACTTTGCTGTACCAGGGATCCATTCCCCCGTTCAATGCTTGGACTGAGTCGTTTCCTTAAGGAGCTGCAACCTACTGAAAAATGACAAAAGCGCATCATTCTGAGCTTCAAAGGAGAGTTTCTGTCTCTCAGTGCTGTTTCAGATGTGTTCCATCTTGACAGGAATAAATTCAATCCACAGAAGCCTCCGTGCGTTGGCTGTGAACAGTTTCGCTGCTGTGATTGCGTGTATTCCTTCTTCTAGTAAGTTTTAGAACAAAATCATACGTGCCTCATCGATTTCTAATCACTGCCCATAGAGTTGAAATCTGATGTGGGGTCAGAGGTTAAGAACATGCCGCACCACCTCATCCTCACACAACCCTCGGTCTGTTTGCTCTGCAAAGACAAAACATGACCTCAATTATACCAGACTGCTCTGCACCCTGTGAGGTCATCACTCAGTACGATACAGTATAATTGAGGTCATGTCTTGACTTAATTTTGAAAAAGATTTTTTGAATGCAGATATTGTAGTGAATGGATCTTTGTGGAACTGTCTATAAACAGTATTAATCGGTACTGAATCCTGTTGTTGGTGGCAGGTGAACACCTAACAAATCTCACTGTATCTGCTACTGTTGCTAGCTTCATGTCCCTGCAGTTTCAGCTTTATTCACTGGTGTTTTAAAGCATTTGAAGGAATACTTCACCTGCAAAATGACCATTTGTACAACAATAATTCACCATATGTTACCTTGAATTCATGAAGAAAGCTTTTTTTTTTCTCACATGCCTCCATGGTGAATCCAAAAAAGCGAAGATTCCTCATGACTGTAAGTCATTGGGGCCAACAACACAACTATATCAAAACATCCATTTACAAACTCATACAAAACTGGTGCAGTATTATCCAATCCTCATTTATTCAGTTGTATGCTCAGTACTTCCCATACACATGCATTTTGCCTAAAACATTACATTTTAGTTTTGCTGTTGTTTAAAGTGGTCCCCAATGATCCCAATTCTTTTTTGGATTCTCCATTCACTGTGGAGGCATACGGGAAAGCAACAGTTTCTCCTCATATTCAAAGTAACAGGAGGTAAATGATTGATTAAAAAAAAATGGTCATTTTATTTAGAAAAAAAAATGAGTAAATGAAAATGAGGGTCAGTTGACTTCACCTTTACTTAAAGGGGGAACTGACCCATTTTCAAAATTCATATATGGTATTCCAATTGTCTAAGACAGTCCAAAATTTGTGATGATGTCATAAGATATAAAGTCTGGAGCTGCTCCAAAGACAATGAATGGTGAAAGATGTTATAGATGACACTGAGAGCACCCAGGGGAATGTATATGGGTGCAGTTTGTGTTTCACAAACATTCTGTGGGTCCACAAAATCAGCCTCATTCACTGTCTATGGAGCAGCTTCAAACTTAATAACCTATGATATCACAAGTGTTTGACTTACTTCTCTGGTGTCTGGTTTTGAGAGAGAGTAGCTAATGTTAACAGATATTGATTGACCTTTCCTAGGCCATGAAAATAACATATTGGTGTTCCCCTTCAAGAAGGCTTTTCTACACGACAGGCAGCCAAGATAGCTGCACCAACTGCAGCAATCACAGCATGTTAAATAAGTGATTAAGTGTCAGTCACCAAGGCTGAACCTGGTTACAAAATGACTCCAACAATGTGTGTTGTCATACAGTGTATACCAAAACAGTAAAAAATTGATGCAAAATCAGGTACACAGTGGCAGTGTCTGTTCTAAACAAATCATTTTTCAGTGAGGGGAAAAGACAGGAACTTTAGTGAGGCCAAAAAATGTATTGCACACTGTGTGCTTTTTACATAAAAGAAATGTATACAGTCTGTGCATTATTACTGGAAAGTTTATCCACATGCCTGAAGTCAGCTCTGAAATTAATTTGTTTTTTAAGAACTTCATAGTTATCGAGGGAAAACTGGCTGAGCTTTTCTGCTTATTTTTAATACCTACCTGCTTTATATTGCAGCACATAAATACCTCAACTATTCCTCTCCCCCCTGGCACTGAGCTGTGCCACAGGAGTCGCTGGGGGCCTTTTCAAACCTCCAGCCTACCACTGCTCCCATCTGCCCCCATTTGCCCCAGTCACTGTAGTCACAGTAGCTCGCTGTTAGTACGTATGCTCGGAGCACTGAAACCAGCACACAGCTCAGCTTCTCACACTCATCTCACCATAATGCTGCATTGCTTTGTTGTAAAGGATCTGCCGGCTTATTCATCTCCACCGTTGAGACTACTGAAAGCACCTTAAAACTGGAAAGCAGTGTGACCGCCATCCATTCTGTGTCTCATGCCACTTGTTAATTACCCATTCTGTGATACCCGCCTGTGGATATGGGCTAGCTTGACGAGCTAACAGAAAAGCTTAATTGGAGCGGACAAGCAGATACTTTGGTGTGCGCCCACGGCTCGCACTTCTGAAATGTTGCCAGCCCTGTGCTTATTAGCAGCACTCCTTCAGAATGGGCCGAATGCCTGAGTGAAACTAGTGCTTCATTTTCAACACGGCACTGAGAAGAGCATAAAACATATGACTTTTAGCTGCATGCTGCTGTAGGGAGGGGTAGGAAGACAGTGGAGTGAAGTGGCAGCGTTTTCCGATGTGCCTGACAGAGAAGCACAGGAGCTCTGACAGAGTTTGCTTTCGCAGGCACGACTGTGTCCCGAACTAACTGACAGAGCGCACGGTGTCATGGCACGACATTTCTCCATTGGCCCAAAGGGGAAATGTCAGTACTGAGTAAAATAATGTATCCACTTTATAAGACTAAAAGAAGTGCATGTGGTGCAGCCTGACAGGCTGATTCATTGAATGACTTCCCAATTGTCAACGCGGGGTTTAGAGATGTTGCACCCATGCTGGCTGTCATCGTGATCGGTCATCATTCCATTTCCTTACTGAGGCGTTCAGTGACATCCAATAAAATACTGTATGTCAGATGTCCTCCTCACTTCTAATATATTGTGCGTGTAGCCTTTGTGGGTGTGGGTGTGGGTGACTGCTGTGTGTGTGTGCATATGTGTGTGTGTGCAGGTCCAAACATCCTAGTAAATCATATAAAATGTGTGTCTGCAGGAGAGGATCCTGAGACAAGACGCATGAGGACGGTGAAGAACATCGCTGACCTGCGGCAGAACCTGGAAGAAACCATGTCCAGTCTACGGGGGACACAGATCAGCCACAGGTAGGCACACAGATGGTACTGCCCCTTACTCACTGGCAATAGTAAAGGACTCTGGTCTGATTTTTTTCAAGGCCCATTTGGTGGTGAAAGTGACAACAAGAGATTGATTCTAGTCTTGGAGATACAAGAGTATAGTTTCCCATTCATATCTCTTGGCCACATTTTCTCAAGCAGTCCTTGATTCAATCCATCAACCCTCCAGTCTTAAACTAAGTAAACTGTCAAGGCTGTAGCCACAGCACATGCAAAATTGAGCAGTAATTCACTCCTAAAATACAGTCTAAAGTCACCACTTCCTTGTTCTAACAGTTGTAATTTGCTTCCTCAGTGGCATTTTATTCATGAAGTCAGGAGTTTTAAATGAGCCCCACCAATCAGAATAAATCTTTAAAAGAATTTTAAAATTTAACCCACATGACTTGTTTCAGGGTTGAGGAATTATACTGAGCGGCCCGGCTTTAAGCCGCTGTCTTATTTAACTGAGGCAATAGTGTAATGTAACACCTCAAATAGGATAATGTATATCTCACAACTCAAGTGTAAAAATGCTCCCATCTGCTTCTTATGTGGTTTAATTCATTATTTATACTTTCACTGGCATTAGATTAGTGTGACTTTGTGTTCTGTCTGACCATGACTGCAGCTTTTGCCTAGTCGGCTTCAAAGAATCGACCCCCCACCTGGCTCACTGCAGGCAGCAATCTACTTCAATGACACACTGTTTTAGAAAGAAATCAAATGTAGAGAAAACTAATTTGGCTACCAGTGCTTATTTAAAAAGACTTCCACCTTTGTGAGAGACTTGTGATACAATCACGACTATAGTTTACTTTCTTTCTGGAGAGTATAAGAAAAGTTTGCAGTACTTGGCTTGTTTGGTTCATTCTGCTCTCCACCAACTCCTGAGGGAGATATCTGGCTCTTCAGCTCCTGAATGCTGCACTGTGTTCACCAGCTAGTCGCTAACTGTACCTGTGGTCTGAAGAAATGTACAATGGCAATATTCATTCTGGCAACTGGGTTCCATGTAAAGAAAGAAATACGGAAATGTTGAGTGCTTGTATATATTCTATTGTCTCTGTGACTCTCAACAGGAACAAACAAATATGGGAAATGTTAAGAATGTGGGAACCTGTTTTGAAATAGACGAAGGAAGAACATAGCATCTTTCTTCAAGAACAACAGAAAAAAACAGAATTTAATCATCTCATCCGAGATCTGCAGCCTGTAGGGCTGCGTTTAAAGGCTGTTGTCACACCGACGTATTGTGTGGCAAGTCTGAAGCTGAGACATGTTTAACTTCCTTTAAATGTGTCATAGCCAAAACAAAAAACACACTTTGAAGGAGACCCACACATGTCACGACCAAACCAGTGAAAATAACCCAAAAGAAACAAGACATTTTCTTTGTGATCATAGTTTTATATCTCAGCAGTTACCTTGTGCATCCGTTGCCCTTGGAAAATAAAAGCAGTTCTGATTCTGATACCTCCGACTCGCCCTGCGCAGTTTATCACACTGATCCGACGGGGAGATATGTCTCCATCTATTAATGATGTTCCCTCTATTACCATGCCATCTTCCCCTCCACGTTTCCTGGATTTAATTAAAAAACAGACGTCCCCTTCCTCACCAGCTGGCAAACATGTAATGACATTCAGGAGCTGATGGACAATCAGCACCTTAAAAAAGTGTCCCATCTGTGAGCCATGGGCTGCATGGACAATCTAACAGTGCAGAAACTGCGGTCTCATGCGAGGACAAAATGATATCCATTGGTTTATGTCAGCTCCTAAGGCAATGGTTCCCTGCTCGACTCTCTGCCTCTCGCTCAGTCTATTATTTTGTGTGTTTTGCCCCATTTGCAGAGGAAGATGGTGGCCAGGCTGCAGACAGCCATGACAGATGGCAGTCTGTATGTGTGTTTGTTTTCGAGTTCTTTTTTCCTCAGAGAATTAACAGCCAGGCGCGATCAATACAGCAACATTGTCTTACCACCCCATTTAATCCAGTGGGAACCATGGGTTTTGGGTGTGAGGCTTTTGATTGGTCTGAAACATTAAGTCTCATTCACATGCATCTTACGCACAAGGACAGACAGCGTTAAATATGTGCAAAATGCATCATCATACCTCAACATTAGCATCATATATGGTGCGTCTGCACATGTATGTGCCTGTGAGATCCTTTAAAGCAAAGCAATAGGCAACCATTACATTTCATTGAAAAAAAAAAAAAAAAAAAAAAAGGAAGTCGACTTCAGAGTGTGTGCCACTGCGGACATGTTTATATTCTCAATGTAAGGATAGCCTCAGAGTGTGCATGCCAATTCTATCCATGACAAAAGCCCGGCCAGACAGTGCTAATCTCTCCCCTGGATAAGAAATGGCTGTAATCACCATGAAGCTTTGAAGGACCTTAAGTAATTAATCACTGTTATGCTCGAGCAGACATGACTGTCATATTCATCACTCTCTTTCTCCGTGCTCTCTCTCTTTGGGATCCTCCCTCTATTTCTGTTTACACCCCATTCATGCAGACTGGGTGTTCCAGCAGGAGCCATAAAAGCAGAAATATAGTCCACCAGCACAGCAACAGCCGCCATAGCCCAGCAAAAATTGAGATGTTGAACGACCGTTGTTTGAACGTTCAATCAAGACGTCCTGTTTTGGTTAAAAAAAAAAGTTCCAAAAGGAAAGTTATGCCGACATCAGCGATGTTGCCTGGCCGTCAGCTGAACATACTTCCTGAGCATCCTACTAATGTTGAAATACAGTGTTAACAGGACCAAACAGTAAACATGGAACTTGAACCCTAGTCTCCTGGGTGAAGACCCTATGCTTTATCTATTCATCCACCACAACTTTCTATCTGTATGGACTTCGTCACTCTACCCCAACAGAGGGTATGAGTGGACCATTATTGGACATTGAAATAACGTTAGCATCTTGCTGTCTGCCTCACAACTGCAGTTTTTCATGTCTGCCTGAGCCATTTTTGGCCAGGGACATAATGTCACCCTCCAGCAAATGGTTTGCTAAGAGTTTTCTCTTTCTCTAAGGGTGACTACACTGAAAAAAAGTCGAAATATTGGATGTTTTTTTGTTGCGACAGATTGAGATTGAGAGTGAGCAATTGTTGTCATTATGTCCAAAATATCAGTTGAGCCCATATGTGCTCGTGGAAGGATTCACCTCAACAAATCTAGCTCTATATGGTACTGGAAAGACTATGCTTTGTATAAAAGCAAATTTGTGAAGGTGTAATCATGATCATTCCCTTATTTTAAGATTTTTGGAGTTTTGATCAGTGAGAAATAGCATAAAGATTTACTCAAGATGTTTTCCATTCATTATTATTCAATTTTGAAGTATTATTGGCACATTTTTTTGCCTTTTTATCAGTAGTTGACAGTTTAGAGATGACAAGAAATGATGTGGCAGAGAGTTAGGGAACAACATGCAACACAGGTTGCCTCAGCCCTCAACCCCAGGCCACAAGGGCAGCCCATCATTTTTCAATTTCAAGTGGCTTTTTTAATCTTTGCCATCTTTGTTGTCCTTTGTTACCCTCAAGGACTATCCCCTGTCTCACAGTACATAGCCATGGGGCCCTGACTCACCCACCTCCTTCACACTCCTCCACTGCAACTTTTACATATGCTGCGGGGAAAGGTCGCTGCTGTAATCGCAGGGTGTGCTTGCTCGTTTAATACTAATGGAGCAGAATACAGGAATATTGACTAAATTAGGCACATCTGCAGTGCCAGTACAAAATTAGAATGTGTTAAAAGGATTCTCACTGAGTTTTCAGTGAAATGTGGGACATCTGTTACATTTTTTATGCCATTACTTGTCACATGACCGATGTGAACAACATGTGTACAGCATTGCTATTGCATGCATTTTGGCATCTTCTGACAAGGAATACATTCAAAACAGATGTTTTACCCATCTGTCTCGTGAGTGATTGGAAACACAACCTAAACACTACCTCTTAATATTGTAACTTCATTTGACTAAAGCTATCTGTATTATTAAGTTCACTGCCACCTTAGATACAATGTACTACCCATGGTGATAATGGAGCTCACTAATATCTGCTCTTTCCACCATTGGTTTTGCATCATTATGTGTTTGGCCTTTCTGCTACATTTCCCTAAAGACTCCCAGACGTTCCACGTGCATTATGCAAATCTACATCGAAATTGCATGCCTGGGAGCTGGTGGCAGCTAATGTTACTTTAAATTTCTGACCCAGTTGAAAAACCTCTAAGTGGCTAAGCTGCGGTTTCCGATGCCCTGAAACCGTGTCCTTTTCTCTTTGAACTGACCTTGCTACTTTGATACTGCAGCCGACACAGCTGCTTAGTTCACATCCGCAACATGTTTTAGAGATGCCGGTGCCTCCACAGGCAATCTGTATTGATCAAAAAACACATTCACCTTCCCCCCACTGCTTTTTTTTTACCTATCCAGACAATGGAAAATGGTATTGATTGATATTTGAAGGGAAAAGGGACAGCTCCATGTGTGAAGAAATGTTGTCATCTTCAAGGACAAACCTGGCACAACAAACAGAAAAGGGAAATCTCCCCTGCTCTTGTCTCTCTGTCTGCTGGGGCCTGAGGGATCCCTGTCTAGTCCCACGGGGATTCAGCCACCGCCAGATGACATTTTGAACATAATAGCTCCACCCGGTCGAGTTTGTTTATTTTGTGTTTACATTTGGAGAACGGAGAGAACTGGGCAGGCTAAATTATTCATTGCTTTAGAACTAAGACAATAACCGTCCTATTTGTGTGCATTCTGAAGTGAGCACGTTTTTCTTTTTAATATACATTTAGCTTACGCTTCAATGCCAGGCAATTTGCAATGATTGCAACCGTACAGTAAAAGTGTAGCTAAACTACCAAATTACACGTTCTTAACAGTAATGATAGGTCAAAGCCAGAGACACTTTTTAATCCCTGACAATGTTCCTGTGAGAGCAGTCAGACT